TTCTGCCGTCACATAGAAGATAGCTCTATACCTTGAGAACATAGAATAAGTTCTCATCTCTATGTACCTTGAGAACATAGAATAAGTTCCCATCTATGTACCATTGTCTAGCAATCAAATGTTCATGTTTAGTCATGGCAGAGGGTCGGGGTGGAGGCAGTATGCTTGGCTTTTCTCCAGGGGTAGCACTATATTTGCAGGACAACCCAGGTTGCCCCATATTCCTTCATTAGTTGTTTAGACTAATTCCTACAATGTAGTATTGGCATTCAGTCCATCACTGTCCAAGCTTATAAAGAAATTGTCAGCAGTTTGAGTTCAGTTTAAACAGGTAAATGGATCAGTTTTTTTTGTTTGTTTGTTTGTTTTGTTTTGTTTTGTTTTCCCAATCCCTGCTCAATTATGGGCATTCCTTCTTTTCTGGTGAGCCCACAAGTGTTAGGGTCTGTTGAATGGCAGGTTATTATAAGCAAAGGATCAATGAGAGAGTCACTATCCCAGAAAACTTGAGCTAATGGATCCCTTCCCTACCTCTCTAGTCCTCCATCTCTCTCTGGCTTGGAGGATATCTGTTTCTGCCACTTCGTCCCTTCCAGTGTGAGTTGCTCCTCTGACTACCATCTCTCTTCCTGAATCTCAACCTTGTGTAGTCTTCAGGATTATAGAAACCACTGTTTATAGCCTGTGAATATTTCTCACTTTCATTACACTGTGGTTTCTTTGAGTCTGTGCTTCAGTATGGGCCGAGAGGAAAATGGTAGAATGAGTGTGTGTGTGTGTGGGGGGGGGGGGGGGGAGAGGAGGCGGAGAAGGGTGAAAATTGTGCAGAAAATAGAATAATATGTTGAAATGTAACCTCACCATATGCCATATAGAATTGGAATCTTTCAGTCTGATTCTAAAGAACTTAAACATTATTTTGGCAGTTTAATTATTAAAATAATGGCTTGAAGTCTGTTGTCTCAGTGGTTAAGGTGAAGGGGAACACTCACATAGAAACAACTGGAAAACATCAAGGGAAGAATCATATATAATCTGTGACATACAGGCTTTAAAACTAAAGTAGTAGAGTTTTCTCTAGATTTGTTCCATAAATTGTCATTCCACTGTACAAGATAATGAGTTTGGCCAGATGTTTCCCAATTAAATTGGTACAAATTGTCTATACAAATGATAATGTCTGAGTATTTATTCTTTTTTTAAAAAAAATATGTTTTTATTTATTTAAGAGAGGAAGGGAGGGGGAGAGAGATAGAAACATCAATGATAAGAGAGAGTTAGTGATTGGCTGCTTCCTGCACGTCTTCCACTGGGGATCAAGCCCACAACCTGGGCATATGCCCTTACTGGGAATCAAACCGTGACCTCCTGGTTCACAGGCTGATGCTCAATCACTGAGCCATGCTGGCCAGGCAAGTAAGTGTTCATTCTCTATCAGATTCTGTGCTCTAGAATTTACAAATAAATATTATCTCCTATGGTCTTGGAGGTTGTCCTGTTTTACAGAATAGGAAATTGAGCTTTAATTTTTGCTGAGGTTCACACAGCTATTAAGTGGTGGGATTCCAATAAAATTCTCAGTTACCCCACAGCCCCTGTTCCTAACCCTACATCACACCTTCACTATAGAAACATGTGTAGGAAAACCAGAGTTGAAGTTGACACTGGTAAAATCCTGGCATCACCACATCTTGAAACTCAGTTTGAGGACACAGGATGTACCAAAGCAGGGGCATGCTGAGATACCTTCCTGGACTTGGAGAGAGGTTCTGGAGCTGACGGGCCCTTGAGAAATTAAGATAACAACACCTCTTTTGTGTACATGTGCATTTATGTGTGAGTATTTAGGTAGAAATTGTCCCAGCAAAGAGACAACTGATTTTATTCTTTTACTTTTTTCCTTTAGAACATTTTAATTCTTAGTCACATAAATAAATTTAAAAAAATATATAAATCTTCCTTTCACCTCTTCAGCCCAGTTTGTTCCCCATTCCCTTTCAAATGGATATCTTTTCAGAGTTCCTTTTATGCTAAACTAAAGAATTATAAATTTATATTCTTTCTTCTTTCGTCTTTTTCTATGTAAAAGGTAGTCATTTAAAAATTTTTGTACCTTCCATTGCTTTTTTTCACAAAGATTTATCTTGGATACTTTCCCACATCAGCACTCAGGGAACTTCCTCATTCTTTCTTACAGCAGCTTACTGTTTCGTGGTGTTAGATGTATTATCATTCATTAACCAGTCCCCTTTTAATAGGGCTTTTGCTTTTACTAACTGATGCAATGAATAACCTTGAATATATGTCATTCTGCATATATGCATGTATATCTATTAGTTAAGCTTCTAGAAGTAGGGTTCCTGGGTTAAAAATATGTCTTTATCATTTTTATTGATAATGCCAAACTACTCTCACTAAGGATTGTACTAATTTGCACTCCCACCAACAATTGTATGAATTTTTCACAGTCCTGCTAACAGAGTTAACATATTTTTGCATTTTGGCCCATCTGATTGATAAATATGTTTGGACATTGGCCCATCAATGCAATAAAATATTGTAGGTTTCTTATTATGATTAAAGATAAGCAAATTTTCATAAGTTTTAAGAGCCATTTATATTTTATTTTCTGTGGATATTTGCTCACTTTAAAAAATCTTGGCTTATAAGTCATCAGTCTCTAGGAACTCTTTATAAGGGAAATTAGTAATATAGATTGAACATGTTTTTCCTACTTATCATTTGGTATTTTCTTCTTGATTTTTATAGATTTGTATATGGTTCAATTTGTTAGTCTTCTCTTATGTCTAATGGTGCTTAAGTCAAAGTTAGAAAGGTCTTTCCTGAGCCAAGGTTATAAAAGTGTTCTTCCAAGTTGTCATTCAATACTAAATGGCTCTAGTTTTCTTATTTTAAATTTTATTTACTTGGTGTTTATCTTGGTTTATAGTATAATGTTTGGATCCAACTTTTTTTTTTTTTTTTTGTAAATGGCTATTCAGTTGTACCACAATATTTATTAAATTACTGCTGATAATTTAGTCCCCACTGGATTGAGATGTCACCTTTAGAAATATCATTATATGTATAAATATGGTTTTATTTTAGAATACTAAAAGAAAGACTCTCAGTTTGTTTATGTGATGTATCATGTTTATTGATTTGTGGATATTGTACCATCCTTGCATCCCTGGAATAAATCCCACTTGGTCATGGTGTATGATCTTTCTAATGTAATGCTGGGTTTGATTTGCTAGAATTTTGGCATCTATAAGGGATATTGGCCTGTACTTCTTTTTATTTGTAGTGTCTTTATCTGGTTTGGGGGTTAGGGTAATGCTGGCTTTGTAGAAAGAGCTTGGGAGTGTTCCTTCCTCTTGAACTTTTTGGAATAGTCTGAGGAAGGTAGGTTTTATTTCTTCTTTGAATGTTTGATAAAACTCCCCTGTGAAGCCGTCTGGATCAGGGCTTTTGTTTGTTGGAATTTTTTTTTTTATTACTGCTTCAATTTTCTCCATAGTTATCAGCCTATTCAGAATTTTTGATTCCTCCTGTTTGAGTTTTGGAAGGTCGTATTTTTCTAAGAATATGTCCATTTCTTCTGTGTTGTCCAGTTTGTTGGAATAGAGTTGATCGTATTTTTTACGATTCTTTGTATTTCTGTGGGGTCTGTTGTTATTTCACCTCTTCTGTTTCTGATTTTGTTTATTTGTGTCCTTTCTCAATTTTTCTATTGTACATTAGATAATTTGTTTTTTATTGTGGTGAAAATACATGTAAAATGTACCATATTACCATTTTTAAGAATAAAGTTAAGTGGTATTAAGTACATTTGCATTCTTGTGCATCTGTCACTACCGACTCAGTATCAGATTGACCGTTGAGATATCACAGTGTTTGCTTTTGCATAACCATTATTTTATTTAATAATGGCACAATAAGTGGTTAACTGTAATTTGCATATGCCAAAGGGAAGCCATAAAATGCTGAAAGGAGTTTTTAGAGGTGAAATAGGCAGGTTTAGGAAATTTTAGGAATTAAGGCGTCCATGGAAAAAGCACAGGGCTACCAAGCTGCAAAAGTTACATTTCCATAAGACAAAGGAGCAGCAGAATGTCTTCATCTTCCCACCATGTGAATTGAATCAAATATACTATTCATTTTATGGTACACTCTCCACTTGTGAGCTGTGTGCTGATTTTAGAGATGTTAAAATGTGGGAAGTATACATCTTAGAATGTATTAAATTCTGTCCTAAATTCTCCAATATGCATTTCTGGACATTCTGTGGTATTTCACTGGTTTGCTTCTTCACACTTTTTTTTTAAATTATTGAAGATTTAGAATATATTTTATATATAGTTCAGATAGTTTTTCCTCACTGGTTTTTCCCAACTATTCTTGTCTATCTGTTCAGACAAACTAGGCAGCCTCTCTTTGGCTCTTGTGACTCTTCTTTCCCTCCCTCTTCCTACCTCTGTTCCTCTTACATGGTGAAAAGTGACATATAGAAGACCACTCTTATATGCCTGATGATCAGCTGTAAGTCTGGATCAAAGTAGCTCCTCTGAGAGTTTGTGTGTCTTTTCCACTTTATTCTCCTGGGTTTTTAGCTCAGCATTGCCATGGGAGATGCAGTCCATTCCTGATCTGATTGTTGCATAAAGAAGAGATAAAGTTCTTAGACTCATTTACTCCTTTTATGTCTAGTACATAGAATGTCAGTCTTATTCAGCAAAATAAGCATTGTTATTACAATGATGAAAAAATCTTAAATGTTTGCAACTACATCAGGGTTCAATGTGGTTCACTAATGCATTTACCCTTAGTATAATAAAAGTGTGTCGGTTTGCCAGTTATTCCTATTAAATTTTTAGCATTTTTAATATTGTATTACTAGAAACTTGGCTTTATTTGCATTCACAGGTCATAATGCATTTCTTTTTTGTTTTTTGTTTTACTGAAGAACCCACTGTAAGAGCTAGTAAATCCTGTGGAAAATGGCCTTCAGTGATCTTACATCGAGGACTGTGCGTCTTTATGATAATTGGATCAAGGATGCTGGTAAGTAACCATATTTTCTAATTGAGGCTCATCCTGCCTTTTTATGTCAAGATTCCCACATCTAATAGGATTTCACTGAAACAGAATGAGAGACTTTGTAGCTTAACACTCTCTCAAGGACACCCAAAATATTTTTTTGAAAAGAATTTTAATATCCAATGAAGAGAATTGGTTAGTAAATGATGGTACATTCCAACTGAGTAGCCATTAAAAGTGATTTAGGGAGACAGTGCTCTTAGGCTTGATTCTGCCCTAATGTTCCTGAGGGAGATAATAGTTATTGCCAACAATGGCTCTATTCAGGATGCTTCTTGAATGGGAGGGGTGCACCCCCCTCCCCAATGGGTGTATCAGAAAAAGCAGGGAGTGTTTCCTAGGGTAACCCCGAATAATTCTGAAATTCCTGCCTTCTCCCCTTGCCCATTTAAAAAAAAATCATCAGTGTTATAGAAAAACATTTAATCCCATGGCAAGAAGATTAAATGAAAGCAGATTATAAAATACCATATATATTTCTTTTGTGAGAATTAGCAGTTCTTTCTATGGGGTACTATTATTAGTAACTTCTTATTTGCTTATGTGTCTATCTGGATTTTTTTAAACCATTAAATATGTATTGCTTTTATAACTATTATAAAACATTCTAAAAAATATAATAAAGGTACATTTAAATAAATACTAGTAGACAACCGAGCATTTTAGAGCTGAGATGGACCTAGAGACCATCGAAGCTAACTCCTCGTTTTAGAGTTGAAAAAACTGAGGCCCAGAGATGTGACCTGGCCAAATTTATGGTTAGTGTTGGGCAGAAAAAACTAGAACCTATGTATTCTGGTATTTCATATTTGAATTATTTTACACATGTTCACCACCATCACCACTTTAGAGTGATTTTTACCTGTCAACCAGAAATTGCATGCTCACCAAATTCAGGGGGGAAAGATGCCACCTCTTGATACCTATCACAGTTGGAAATATATTCTAGTTAATCTTAATTTCAGCCACGATAAACTGTTTCATGGTTGCTAGCATTTTCAGTAGACTGCTAAAGACCAATTTTATTTCACTAAGAAAGGTCCTAATAGTTTTACCCCTGAAAAATGCCACAAATAGAGATGCTTCACTCTGGTTGGGAAATGGAGAATGGTTATTTCTATTTTTTTTTCTTCTCTTTTATTTTAGTTTTTTTCAACTTATGTAATGATGCAGAAGACATATAGGTTTCTTTAGAGGTTTTTCTTCTCTGAAGGTTTATAGTAATTTGTTCTCATTGATTCAGTATTTCATGTAATCACCATATTTTTGCTTTCTAATAGTATTTCTTTTCATTTATTTATTTTTTAAAATACTAATACTTTTATTGCTTTTCAAAGTAGAGGTGTACTTTGCTACCTTAACTCTTATGATTTGAACTTGGGAACCTAGTAGATTTAGGTACATTTTTTTTTTTTAAGTAGATCTGTTTGGGAGGACAGATCCCTTGCTATTCAACCCTTGCTATTCAGTATTCCAAATGCAGGAGCCCTAGAGATTCAGATAATATACTAACTCATGGGTCAAATCTATTTAAAAGATGATGACTATCTATATAGTGCTAGCAATATAAAATATTTAAAAAAGAACTACTTCTGAATTCCACTTCTACTTTTATTTATGGTTCAACTCTTTACTTTTTATTAGGAATTTAAAGGCTGGATAATATTAGGTCAGAAAAAGGAGTGACCGAGGGCTGGGGTGGTTATGGAGAGACAAGGAGAGTCCTGGAGACAGCATTGCAAACAGTGCAATTGGAATGAGAGGAAGAGTCAGGTAGTGCTACGTACCTGGAGTTGGGCTAATTTGAAGACATAAGAGAGGAGGGAAGGGAGGGGATATTTAATGCAAAGACCTAAATGTTAGTCCTGACACTACTGTACTAGCTAGGACCTGGAACTAATGATTTCTTGTCTGTGAGTCTCAGTTTCTTTGTTAGAATGATAGCTACCAGCCAGCAGATAATATGCATGGAAGCGCTTCTGTCATTTGGGAAGTTTCACAAGGCAAGTGGGGGTGGTGGTTCCAGATGATTGATAGAGCATTTTCATCTTGAAATGCTTTCAGTACAGCATATCATGTTTGTAAAGGTTTCTTCACATTTTTTTCCTATTGGACTCTAGAAAGGTTAAAAAGCTTTGTATAGAGATTTTCACCTTCATAAGAACACCTTCATGTAAAAGAGGAGAGGTTTTTGCTTCCGGGTAGTGTGGTATTGATTGATCTCTGAAAGCCATTAGGGATCTTTTCTGGCCAACTTAGTTCAGTTGTACTTTGCTTACCCTGGGAAGTTCTGAGCACCTGATCAAGGGCCAAGAATTTCAAGTGCATTCTTGGCTTTGGCACTAATCCTAAATCGCCTCTAAGATACTTACCTGTGCTCTTTGGTTTTCTTATTGCTAGAGAAGTTGTGATCATGCATAGTTATTAATATTTCAGGTGGAACATTCTGCAGCTACAGGATTTTAAAATGGTTTAATTACTACTTCAGCTATAAGAGGATTTACTATGATTCTAGATATGAAGTGTCAGATTTTGAGATAATACTATAATGTTTTCAGTTGTTTAAAAAGCAACTTTCCTTGTATTTGGGTGGTACTAATAACTCTTCAGACTTAGTTGTGACCTTTTTTGCAAAGACAATCTGAGTAAGAGTGTTGCCATCCTGAGCCTTTAATACTTCACAAAGTACTGAAATACATGATTGCTTTTCCTCCCAGCTTCTTCATCTTATTGGTACCTGAGATTTTAAAGGGAAAATTTATTGAGCTAGTACATGCTACCTGAGAAGAGAACACTGCCTTACAAGCAGTTGATGGACAAGTTCATTAATGTTCTATGTATGTGACACTTGTAGTTTCCATGTTCCCTTCCCCCCTCACACACACATACACACTCTTAGAAAAGAACAATCAGACTAGTAATAATAAGTCAGAACTTTGGTGATCCTGGGGTACAGACTCTCAGACAGTCTGCCTTTGCATCCTCTGCTTTCATCTTGGCTCCACTTATGCACTTAAACCCAACTCTGATGCCAAATAGAAGATGCATCATCAGCCTTTTCTCTCTAGGGAACAGAACTTACCTCACCCCTGATCTTTGGCAGTTTGTGAAATCATAGTCTGACTCAGGATTAACTTTAAATATCATTGAGCAGTCCCCTCTTACACCCTCCCATCAAAGTCACCAATCCACACCTGTCTTATACACTTTTCATTGTGGGAAGTCCACTAGATCACATGGAAAATAAACAGTTTTCAGAGTCATGAGCATCATATTAAAGACTTTTAATTTTATCTGCTCAGTGGAGAGAGCTAATTCATCAGAGGAATAATCTGAGTACAACTAGTAGTATACTTTTAGGAATTTGGTAGTTGCATGGAAGACCAGATGTCACTGATTGGATCAGCAGGCAGGAAAACCACAGAAATGACTCCTTCAGAGCAATGGTGATCGACTCTTAGGCCCTAAATATAAGAGAAATAAGTTTACCCAAAGCAGCTTTTTCTCAAAATATGGATGCCTAGGACCCATATGGAGCCTAGAACTCTGATTTCATTGGATCTGGGTCATTTTTTGGCCACTTGACTTTAAACATTCCAGAGGTGACTTCTCTGCTGAATTGAGACCTGGTGTCATAATAACATTTACTAAGCACTTATTTTTTCCTGGGCTTTCTGAATACAGTAACTCACTAAATCCTCTAGGAGATATAAGCTATTCTATTTTATTTTTCAATTACACTTTACAGTCAATATTATTTTGTATTCGTTTTCGGTGTACAGTGTAGTGGTCATATAATCATATACTTTACAGTGTTCCCTCTAATTTTTCCAGTACCCACTTTGCACCATACATAATTATTACAATATAGGTAATTGACTACATTTCCTATATTGTACTTTACATCCCGGTGACTATTCAGTTACTACTAATATGTACTTCTTAATCCCTTCACCTCTTTCACACAGTCCTCCCAAATCCCTTCCCTTCGATACATGCTACTTTATGCCCAGTTCTTAGACGAGGAAACTAAGCAAAGAGACTTTAAGTCAGTGGCCCCAAGTCAGGAGGGATTCCAGGACCACAACTCCAGAGCTTGCTGAAATAGGATTAAAAAGCATAGTGTTTTGTTTTATTATTTGCTTTCAAATAACAATGAATTTAATTAACTAGCTTTTCCCTAAGGATATGAAAAAAATCTGTAGCACGTGAAAGTCACTCACAGGGTTTTCAAAAAGGTGTGTGCTTAAAATGCTAAATTATAAGAAAAGGTTATTTATTTAAAAATTATTTTCTTCTACTTGCTGAGCCAGCCCAGAATGCTTTTTCCTGACTTGTTTTATTTGTACTGTTGCCAGCAGAATAACCGAAAGATGATGATGTCATTTGACTCCCCCCCGTGCTGAGTCAATGAAAGAAGAAAATAAAATAAGCCTTCAATTCAGGAATTCCTTTATTGACACTTAAAAAACAACAACAACTAGTTTTCAATCATCCATGTGATGTGTGTTACTAACAGAAACATTTAGGAAAAAAAATAATTTGTTAGGTCACCATCCAAAAGACATAATGTTAATTAACATCCTTACAGGGGTTCTTTGGTATTGGTTTTAAGTCCTTATTTCGCTGGGGACAAAAACTATACATATTAATGTGGCTGATGATATGTGTGTATCTTTAGTATATAAAGAATGTCTGGATGGAGGAACTCTAAAATGTTACTGTTGGTTATGGTGGGTAGTAGGACCTTGTTGGCTATCTTCTGTCTTCCAGATGCATTCCACATGCTGTGCTGGGGCCTGGAGAGTGACCAGTATGAACTATATCCATGGGCTTGCTCTCCTGCCCTCTGGTTTCTGGTTGGGTTCAGCCAATGGAGAACCCTAGGAAACTGGGGAGAGGGAAGAGGGTGGTGTTGGGGTATCAGTTCTCCTGACCCCTTACTTGAAGAATTGCCTTGTGATGGCTGAATCCCTCAACTGAAGGTCACAGCTCTTCTGCAGGGGGCTACTCCATATGACTCTCTCCTGGGTTGTGGTAACTACCTTCCTTTGCCCTTTGAAGCCTCTGGTGCTAACAGCCTCACTGTTTCTAACCCCATCACTATCCCTGATAATTTCCCTTTACTCTGAAGATGGTAGTGATCATTGCCCATCTAGTCTGCTGTCAAGATTAGGGTCTAGGTGCTCACTTAAAGAAATGCTGGTTGCTCTTGATGTGTACTTACATCTTGTTTTTCTCTTAGATCCAAGAGTTGAAGACTGGTTCTTAATGTCATCACCTCTGCCACAAACCATCATCTTGGGACTCTATGTCTATTTTGTCACTTCTCTGGGACCAAAGCTCATGGAAAATCGAAAGCCCTTTGAACTCAAGAAAGCGATGATAACGTACAATTTTTTCATAGTACTCTTTTCTGTGTATATGTGTTATGAGGCAAGTGTCTTTAGTATTCCTAATGGGAGAATTTTGCCTGAGTTTACCTGTTTATCAGTCATTATGTTTCTTGTTATGACTAAAACTTTTCGAGATTTAAGGAATTTTAGAATCTTAGCTCACTAGAGCAGGGATTTGCCCCAAATTGTTAATATAGACCAGGTATTAAACCTTTTAGAGGATCTTAGTATAATTTACTCATAGGTAATGAGAATTATTAACAATAAGTCCAGGGACTGGCACATAGTTAACCTTAATAGATAATTGTATGAATCCATAAATGTTAGGTTTTTAAAAAATATATATTTTATTGATTTTCCACAGAGAGGAAGGGAGAGGGATAGAGAGCTAGAAACATCGATTAGAGAGAAACATCGACCAGCTGCCTCCTGCACAACCCCTACCGGGGATGTGCCCACAACCAATGTGCATACCCTTGACCGGAATCAAACCTGGGACTCTTCAGTCCACAGACCGACACTCTTTCCACTGAGCCAAACCAGTTTTGGCCATAAATGTTAGTTTTAAGAAAACATACTTGGACAAATTAAGTAACTTGCTCAAAGTAGCATAGCTGGTAAGTGCAGGACTGATATTTGAATCCAGGTCTGACAGCAGAGCTCATTCTGACTAATGAGTTGTCCTCCTCCTGGTAGGAATATTTAGTTTCTACATGAGTGATGATGGTGGGTTGTTTGGGTTTGGTTTAGCCTAGCTTTGGGGGAATAGAAAACTTAGACTCACACAAAGCAGTATGTAAGGGAGCCTGTCCCTTAATTGTCAGTAAAAGAGGTGGGGATCTTTCAGAACCTAAAAGCAGACTCATGGATTCACTTTCTCTCTCTCTGCTATTAACATGTCTCAACTACCCTCACTGCTTTTCTGAGATTCCTTGCCTCTCCAGTACTGACTGGCTGCCTCATACTGGAACTCACAAGAGATCCAGCAAAGCTCTGCTGGCTCTCCTGATTCCCACCATGAATCCACCTGGTTGGGTTGCCCTCACTTTGTTCTGACTTCATCCTCATAGGCCCCTCAGAAGTCTGGACTTACTTTTCTGTCTTCCATTCCTTCTATGTTATTTCTAAAATTAACTCAACAGGCCACCTTACTGTCCTTTCTGGAGCATAAGTAACTGAAAGGGAAGAACAGAAAAAATACAATATTATCAAAAATAGGATATAGCCTACTGTAAGACAGTGTTAAGAACTGACCTGGGAGCCAGGAGACCAGGAGCTAATTAGTCCCAGTTATGCTACTAATTAGCTACCTGATTTTGAGCATGTTAACTTCTTCGAGCCTCAGGTCTCCCATTGTATAAAGTCAGCATTGAACCAATTGTCTCTCAGGTTACTTTATGCTATGTCTGACTGTGTCATTGAAAATACTATCCTTAAATATATTTCTTAGGAAATATTTCAGTTATAACCAGTTAGTTTTGATTTCTATTTTGGCAATCACAACATAAAAGAAGGTTTGAAAATATCTGAACTTGAAAGTGCATTTCTCATTAACCACTAATACCAGAGTTACTTATATGTCCATTTTGGTATTTATTAATGGACAGCCTAAAACATAGACACATATGTCAAAAAACTCCACAGACTTGTAGAAGGTTCTTAAACTTAACATCAGGAAGGCATTCAGTTCTACTCTTTGTTTAAACAAAGACTTTTGCGGCTGAGCATCCTGTCATCTCCAGAACACATCCAAAACTCATGGTTTATTGGGTGGAGCATGATTGCATTTGGTCTCCAGTAAACACCTCTACCAGGAAGTTAGGGAAATATGAGCAAGGTGAAAGGTAGATCAGACTAAAGGAACCCACGTGCCTTATTTTTTAGTGATGATTTGAATGTGTTATTTGGCACGAGGCAGACACTAATAAAGAGAGATCAGCCAGGCCATTGTAGCTCAGTGGTTGAGTATTGATTCATGAACCAGGAGGTCATGGATTTGATTCCTGGTCAGGGCACATGCCAGGTTATGGGCTCAATCCCCAGTAGGAGGTGTGTAGGAGGCAACAGATCGATGATTCTCTCTCACAATTGATGTTTCTCTTTCTCTCTCACCCTCTCTCTGAAATCAAGAAAAACATAATTTTAAAAAGAGAGAGAGACCAATGAAGTCCCCACAAAAGGCCAAGTCACACAGTGCAGTGCTTGTTTGGGGCAGGGAAAGGGGAGAATCAATCATGTTAGTTTAAGTAAATGGATTTAGCGTTTTCCTTACATCAATTAGAAGTTAAGTCTGAGCTCAGGAGAGTATGAGGATGCTCATTGACAGATTTCGTATAGAATAAGTCATTTCTGTATCACATTCCCTGTTCCTTAGAGAAAATTTATTGACTGTTTTTTGTAAGATATTTTTCTCACCTGTGAAATACGTCTTATACTTTTCTGAATCTTAATTTTCAAGATTTCATTACTTACCAAGTTAACATTGTGATTAAATTATCTTATGACATAAACTAGGAGCTGGATTTAGAAAAATACGGTATATTTTTAAATACCACAGTCTAAATAGTTGTTCTTTCTCCTTTGTTCCTTTTTACCATGGAAATGTCATTCTGATAATGCCTCATAAACCTTTGCTTTTTTAGAAGTTAATTTATTGTAAAGTTGTCATTTTAGCTTTAATAGCAATTAAAAATAGAAATTTAAAGTGTACTTTAATGGCATAAAATGATATAACCACTAAACCAAAAAAGAAGACATTCTTGGGAAGATATTAGCACTTAAGAGAACAGGGTATCAAAGAAAGAGAAGTGGTCGTATTTTCAGAGCTCTAAATTAATTTAGGAATTAATTTAAAATTACAGTCCTTAGTTTTTCATTTTCAGATACTGTTTTAAAAGAAGACCTTCCCACCATCAGACTGAAAGAATGTCAATGTAATCTTTGAATTGCGGTTCAGACTTACCAACAGTAAGCTTTTTCTTCTCACCACTAGTAGAAGGTCACTTTGTGGGTGTGCTGGAATTAAGGCTTGCTAGTTTGCAATTTTTAAGCTTGAGATTTTCCTTTCTTACTTGTCATGTGGGTCCAAAGCCAAACTAATATCTGAGTCTTGTGTTTGGTCAACCTTAATTTTAAGAGCCATAGGTTACTACCATTTCAATTCACACCAACTAGCTAAGGTCAGGAAAAAAAGCAGTGTATCTTATGAGTACATTGAGGAATGGTTTGCTCATTTATTTTTTGACTATTTGGGACATTTAGAGATCAGCAGAAAAGACTGAATTCAGGTCCATTTATTCTCTTTAGAATATACAAACATAAGCACAGGCATATATAGATATACCTAATATGTACATATACTAGCATATACTTCCAGTATTTGATGTTTAAGCAAAAACACTCCCAGTGTTTTGTTCTCCACTATATTAAAATAATTATCCCAAGAAATGAACATTTTAGTCCAAACCCAGTTTATCTAAATAAGGTATGAGTTTATGGTTTTGAAAATCCTTACTGCTTTCATATCCAGTGAGTTCCTAGTTTGTAATTGTTCTGGTTCATTTTTTCCCCTCCACACTGGCTGCTGATCAGCTGAGAATTTAACGAAGAAACAGTCAAAACTGCTTTTGTTGTAGCAAATGTTTCCTTCTTTAAAATGCATGTGCTCTCTTGCAGTTTGTGATGTCTGGCTGGGGTACAGGTTATTCATTTCGATGTGAAATTGTTGACTATTCACAGTCGCCTACAGCGTTGAGGGTAAGTTTCTCTTTGGAAAAACTAGTAACTCAAAATTAATGTTAAAACTTTTTGGGCTCCATTTGTAATAATGTGAATTCAGAATGAGTGACTCAATTATTAGGATATATATATATATATATTGAAAGAAAAGCTAAAATTTACCAGCTAGAAATAACCTAAGTCGGGTATGTTATCTTCTGTAAAATTTAAAAGTAAATTCTTATCCTGTTCCTCAAACAACTTAAAAAAGAATTATAATATGATCCAGCAATTCTGCTTCCAGTTCTAAAAGAACTAAAAGCATGAACTCAAAAAGGTATTTGTACACCCATATTCATAGCAGCATTATTTACAGTAGCCAAAAGGTGGAGGCATGAAAGGTTTAAAAAAATGTGGTGTATGCATATAATGGAATATCATTCAGTCTTAACAAGGAAGGAAGTTCTGACACATGCTCCAACATTCACAAACCATAAAAACATTATGCAAAATGAAATAATCCAGGCACAAAAGGACAAATACTGTATGCTTCTACTATCTGAGGTACCTAGAGTGATATTCAGAGACAGGGAGAAAATGGCCTTTGTCAGAGGCTGGGGTGGGAGGGGTGGGGAGGCGACGGGGTGTTGTTTTATTAGGTACATGGATGGGTATCTCTATGCATGGATGGTGGTGATGGTTGCATAACAATGGGAATGTACTTAATGCTACTGAACTGTACAGCTAAAAACAGTGAAGATGGTAAATTTTATATCATAGGTATTTTGCCAAAATTAAAAAGAACAAAATCCCCCCCCATGTAAAAATAAAACAAAAAGAAATTCATATTTATGTGTGTTTTTGCAGATGGCACGCACCTGCTGGCTTTATTACTTCTCCAAATTTATCGAGCTATTAGATACTGTGAGTATGTAGTCATTTCATTTGGTAAATGTTTGATCTTTTGATGAAAGCAATAAACTTGAGTTCTGTTATCCGATAACTTTGGTTATCTCTCTTCTTCAGGCAAACCTGCCTTTTCTTATCAGTAATATTAGAAAATAGATAGGATAAGCTTATTTTTCAGTCGTTTGCCAACTCCAAAATGTGTTCTTATGTGTCTACCACCTGTTTAAGATAAGTGTATAACTGTCATATAGATGAGAAAACTGCATCTTTCTTTAGATGGATGACAGTTGTGCTGGGAAGCAAGTTTAGGAGAAAAAGAGCAGAGAACACTTTACCTTTGGTCCTTCTTACAAAAACCCTGTGTCATCATACTTTTTTAAGAAGATAAAGGCTTCAAACTTTATAAACTTACACAATAATATTGTCACTCTGGCATATCAGTCATTTTGGAAATACCAAAACTACCTTCAGCTGCCCTCTGAGTCCTCTCTCTGCCTGGGAATGAGCTGAATTTGGGTGACTGGACCCTGGGAGTGCTATAGATCAGGGTCCATAAGGAAAGGAGAAAGTCCTATGCCTTTGTTTCCGGAGTAGGAAAGCTGTATAATTATTATATCTTTGTGGTATGTGGGCCTTGGCTATCTGGAAACAGTCTTGGGCCTAAGTGTGTTCTCTTTTCAGAATATATAACAAATCTCAATATGCTTTTACCTTCCCAGATGACTATGCATAATGTAATAACTGGAAAGGATTTTTTGTGAGCATAAAATCACTCCTATTGTTCTCAAAAGTTAGCATGCATAAGAATCACCTGGAGGGCTTATTAAAAACACACAAGCCCCATAGCCTGATCCCTAGAGTTTCTAATTCAATGGGTTTTGGATGGAGCTTAAAAATTTGCATTTCTAGCAACTTCTCAGGTGATGTTATGACTGTTGGTCCAAGGTTCACACTATGAGAACCCTTGCTTAGGCCAGTCAATCCTCATGGTGTAGTCAACTTACTTGCATTAAAAAGCCAAAAGGCTGGGCCCCAACCTTAGAGACTTGGAGCTAGGTGATCTAGAGTAGATACCAGGCATGGCTATTTAAAAAAAACAAAAAAACAAAAAAACAAAACAACAACAAAAAAAAAACTTCTTGGACATTATTACATGCAGCCACGGTTAAGAACTATTGATCTTTTGAAGTCCAAAGCTCTCAGTCTGAAAATACTGAGGTTCAATGACTTACCAAAAGGAATGCTGCCACTGATGGGCTAGCATCTCAGATTGCTGTCTTCTGGTTTTTTCTGCACCGTGCTGCCTTCTCTCATGTGCACAAGCAAATGCGTTTGGCTTCGTTGTTTCTTCTTTGCATGTTCTCAGGTCTAGCTTACATAAGGAAATGGTTGCTGCCTCTGGGTCCATCCTTAAGTCACACTTTTTGAGATACTCCTATTAGTACTTTTGTTTCTGCTATTCTGTTTAGTCCTATAGAATTTGGACTGTACTTCAAAGTCTAATTCATTGTTGCTTTCCTGAATTTTGAGTACCTTTTTGGACATTTAATCCTGCTTTTGAAATTTTTTTGGGAAAAAATTTTCCTTCAAATTCTTTCTATTCTTTGCCTTTGTTTGTAGAGTTACTACAAACCACTTGGGTACATTCAGTCTGGAGGGTGCCTTCTTTGCCCTCCTTGTTTTTCCAAGGCAGCTTTGCTTTCTTTTCTGTCCTATTTCCCCAATTAACTCTTCAAGTGTTTTCCTCTTCATTTTTCTTTAATAATAACTTGCTAACTTTTGATTTATTGCAAGTCCTCTTTATTTGCTTAATCCATTACCTAAATTGGGAAAATGTATTAGAGAGCCATGTAGAATAATGTCAGTTCTAAGAATTAAGATTCCATGCCATATATGTGTTTGTTTGTTTTTGAGTGTGTGTGTGTGTGTGTGTGTGTGTGTGTGTGTGTGTGTGTTGCCAATAATATTTTTTCCATATATTTTGGGCTATATTCATCATTTAATATCTTTGATTTTTTCAAATCTGCATGGAATTTTTTTTTTTTTTTTTTTTTTACCTTTTATTGATTCTCCCATGACTAGGCATCATACCCAAGTTCCTTCATACTAATTGGCTTTTGAACTTGAAGAATCAGCTGCTTCCATGAGCATTCTATAAGTCAGTCCTTTCAAAGCAAATTGTGATGTGAAATAGTTTTACTTTGTCAATATTTTTATAACTCTAGATAAATTATTGCATGATTTTATATGAACTTGATTTTCTTTAAATTATTTCAGATCTTTTTTGTTCTGCGTAAGAAAAATAGCCAAGTGACTTTTCTGCATGTCTTCCATCATACCATCATGCCATGGACCTGGTGGTTTGGAGTCAAATTTGCTGCAGGTAGCCAAGGGAGAGTTGGGATCATTTCTTATAAATACTAATATTTTTGTATGGTATAAACACAAAATCTATCCTTAAGTGTGATTTAAGAGCAACTCAAAACGTCAAAGAATCACTTTGATCAAACTTCTAACTTTTATTATTACTTAAAACCTAAATGTAGGACTCTTACCCAGATTCTTCTCCAACTCTCCATTCTTTAGAAATGCATTGACTTTTGGGTATAGTCTTCTACATATATTTTAGTTGTTTTGTTTGGATTTTATTATTTTCCCAAGGAGTTCTATTAAATATCTTTTAAAAATAAAAAATAAACAAAATGGTTTTATAGGAATGTAATTAGGTATCTATTTCCTTATATGTATCCAGAGAGTTGGAATGTTTATCTCAAGCTCCATGTTTTCTTTGCCTTCAAATTTCTAATAACTGATACACACTGTAAACCCTAACAGCTCTGTAAAGATGTGTGAAATCGCAGTTGTCCCAACCTCTTTAAGCATTCTGCCATATTAAAGCATATTTTGTTACTGCTTTTCAAGTCAAGAATAGTTTAAATCAAAAGCTTGGCTACAGGCTCTTTTGTTTGGTTTGGGTTTTATGCTTTTGAACATCTAGAATTGAAAAAAAACAGGAGGTTAAATAATTTTACCTTATCATAAAGTTTTATTAAGTGATATTCCTGATGACATATTCTTATCTTATTAGCAAACATTTTATTTGTGCTAGTTTCTTAAATTTAAGACATCTTTAAGTAGGCCTGTAGCTCATAGTAAACAATGTTTTAGCATTTCTGTGAAAGGCTCACCTCTATTAGGCATTCTGATTCTGCAAAACTTAAAAAAAAGAAAAAAAGAGGGAGGGGGGACCACAACTGAGTAACTTTTGTTTGCATTTTAGATTCTCTAGGCTTGGGGAGTCTAATCTGCATGTCTTATGTCTCAGAGCATGAGAAGACATTATCAGTGGCACAACAGAGGTGCTAAAACCCAGAGGAGCCAAGAGGGCATTGGATTTTTCAGTATGTAAACTATCTCCTTGCCCAAAATTGGCATTTATCTGTAGAGCATTTTTAAAAAGTAAATGTAGCCATAATATTCTGGGAAGGGTGTGAGCAAGCATTATTCTATAAGTAACCTAACTATAAAACACAACATTAGGTCAAAAGTTGTAATAGAGCCAAAACCGGTTTGGCTCAGTGGATAGAGCGTCGGTCTGTGGACTGAAGGGTCCCAGGTTCAATTCCGGTCAAGGGCATGTACATTGGTTGCGGGCACATCCCCGGTAGTGGAGGTGCAGGAGGCAGCTGGTCTATATTTTTCTCTCATCGCTGTTTCTAGCTCTCTATCTCTATCCCTTCCTCTCTGTGGAAAATCAATAAAAAAAATTAAAAAAAAAGTTGTAATAGAAATCTCTTCCTAAGTTATCTATTATGGCCACATAAATTTTAGTAGAGAGCCGTGGAATAAAGTGCTATGGAGAACATAATGATTTGGTATGAAAATTATTCACTTAATGTCCTGTAATCCTTTTTTTTAATTTTAAATATAAGGTTTTTTTGTTAATAAAAAAAGCAAATGTAGCTGTTCTTATACTGTATGTTAATGTAAAAAATTAACTTGCACTAGAAGAGAGTCTCATCTGTGTCCATTTTACAAAAAAAGGTAGCTATATTATTTAATCTCCATACTTTACTTTCTTTTTTTCTCTCACTTGCATATTGTGCCTCTCCGTTCTTTCTTCAGTGATATTATTGACTTCTTTTTTGTCCTGGTGAAATATTGAAAATGACTCAACTATCCACTAATTGAATGGTTATTACTTGTGTGTATATAATTGTGAAATGAAAATAATGTTGAGAGGCATCTTTTAAGCAGCTTGACTCCTAAATTATCAGGAATAGGTGATTATTCTGTTTTTAAAAGAAAAGGTTCTTTTACACCCTTATAACTTATTTACTCAGATTTCTTTCAGGAGACCAGAATATTACCACAACACTGAATAATATATAAAAATAGAAAAAAAGATTGGAAAGCAATACCCCCAAATATAATTATTTAGAAATATTGACACAAAAAGTGGTTTCTCTCTCCTTCTCTGTATTTTATAATTTTTTCTATATTGTATATCTGTTCATTCCATAATGGGAAAAATAAATTTTATTTGAAGAATGGAGTTTTGCATTTTTCTAATTTCTATCTTCAAATCAATTTCAAACAAACAATACTTTCAATAATGAAAATTTAAACACATGATACACCTCAGTTTTTCATTGTCACCATGTTTATGGACCTCAAGCACTTTGTAGTGGGTTCATTTTCCATTCCTTAATCTCTCTACTGCTTTATAAAATGTAAATATTAGAAAATAATATTTTTATTCTCTTGTGTACCATGGATTGGCATTTCTGTTCAGATCTTCATGGGAACTCTAGTATACACATGTACACCTGATATCTATTCAGTAACAAGCACAGAATAAGAGCTGAGGTATTTTCAGAGATATGGTTTGACATTGGCTCCCATCCCTCAAATGAAACTGCCTGTTTCAAACTATTCTTCCAAAATCTTTAGCTTAATTGATCTCTATCTAGTGTTTAATTTCCTGTTGGCTTATTGTACAACTCTCTGGGATAATCGCCATCCAGCTTTCCTTTTGAATATGATGAAAATATTTCCGTGACATGTTTTTATATTAATTATGCACAGATTCCCGTCTAGGTATATGGAGAATTATAATAATTAGCCAGGTGATTATTTTTCCCAAACCAAAGGACTAAAAGGTGATCCACTAATTGTAATTCATTCTGAGATGTTTGCTTTTCAAAACTGTTATCACAAAGAAGAAAGCAAGCTTAGAAAATACTTCTTGGAGAAGCCTTCCATAAACAATGCTACTTAACATGTGATTATTCTGTTGAGCAAACTCATCAAAATAATTTATTAGAAAGTAATCATAAACTAGAGAAAATAAGCAAGTTTGTTTAGATAGCTTATTTTGATCACTAATCCTTACTAAACACTCTTAGCTACACCAGTACTTTGTTAAATTCCTGCCCCTGGTATCCTTGTTTTAGGACATTTAAATGATGAAAGCGTCTGAATGGGAACATGGACATGCTTATGCCAAAAAATAAGAGTAGTGTCTAATGAGACTGGCTCTGATGTAGTTGATTATCCAGGGTATAGTATATTTCTTGTGTGTTTATAATCATGAGACACAAATAGAATTGAGAGGAATTTGGCTTATCCCTGTTAAGCAGCTTTAACTCATAAACCATCAGGAATAGACACCTATTCTATTTTTAAAATGCCCCTAAAAAAGGTGTTTTCTCACCACTATATTTAGTTAAGTTTCTTTTGGGAAAGAAGACTAATCCAAATGTGTTTAATAAAAGTTGGGAGGCTGTTAATAAGCTTTATTAATTCAGTTTCTTCTGATTTGAAATGTGAGATAATTAAAGGATTAGCTAAAATTTTATTCAGGAAGGGAAAGTTTATGAAGGGAGAGTATATCATAAATGAGGCATTGGAGGAATATTTAAGCTACTTTAAAAATAATTATTTAAAACAGGTTATTTTTAGGGAGTACTTTAGCAGTGATATATCTAGAATTGCTGCAATTATGAATGATTATTAAAGAGTAATTAGTTTCTACTGTGCAACAATTTTTATTTTGCTTTAAACTTTCTCTAATTTCTAGTGTCTATGAATTTGGTCCCTTTTCTAAAAACAATCAGTTCAGATTTATGAGATTTTGTTTTATTTCTGGAATTAAAGAATACTGGAATAAAGGAAATGGAATATCTTGAAGAAAAAAATAAATTTCAGGCCAATATTACTATGCTGAATTAGGTTCTACATAAAGAATGCAGATTCTTCTAGAATGAGCCACTTTGGAAAGAGAAGCTAGGGAAGAGTTTTGTTTTTTTCTCCCACTACCAACTAATCACCCTGTTACTCCTCCCCCTGTACTACTGGTCCAGTTAAAGGCAATTAAAATGATCTTTGCTTACATTCCCCCAGCATTCATTGATTCTATTCTAAATTAAATGTTATAAATAGGTGCTGTGGGGAAATTAGAAGATGAAAACCAAGATAGGATGGCACAATTCATAAAAATCAAATGGGAGCAGTAAACAAAGGTGGTTTAACAATAAATGTTTATTTGTATTTTAGAAAAACAAGTAATTGACTAAAGCAAACATAGCATAGTTTACTAATAAAAGCCAAAGTTTTGTGGTACTAAAAATATTTATTGAAAACTGATTGTGGAAAAAGTGAATTTGATTTCAGACAATGACACTTTGCAAAAGTGTTCTTCATGGTTTTATTTATAATAACCCAAAATGGAAATAATTCAAATATCTTTTAATAAGAGAATGGATACATTCTTATGTATTCATATAGTATAATACTACATAGCAATAAAAAGGCAAACTACTAATATACACACCAACATGAGTGAATATTAAAAACATGTTGATTGAAAGAAAGGCACAAAAGACTATATCTAGTATAATTCTAACTATATGAAGTTTAAAAGCAGGCAAAACTAATGATTGATTATAGAAATAAAAATTAAGGTTACAAGGTTGAAAGGGAATATGGGAGCCTTACCTGGTGTCACAAATGTTTTATATCTTGAATTTGGTAATGTGTACTTGGGTCTATGCATATGTACACTTAAGGTTCATGCACTTTGTGTTAACTCTCACTAAAAATGAGCTTGATTACTATTATTTAGTATTATGTCATGTTAACTCAGATTGTTAAAATAAAACCAAATCATAAGCCCATCTTTAGTCAAGATATAACAGAATAAGGGCATACTAGGCTATTTTCTAAGATTTGTTTATTATATTTTACTCAATAAATGTATTATCTGTCCAGCTCTGTAATTTGATTCTGTTTATTAAGATTGATGTTCACATAATGTGTGTTTTCCCCCCACTAAAATTAAAAAATAAATATACTAAAATCTCAGTTCAGACAAAAATGTGTCTTATTCGAGGAAGTGCGCCCATTTGACAATTATTTCATTTTCCAGGTGGTTTGGGAACATTCCATGCCTTTCTAAACACAGCTGTTCATGTAGTCATGTATTCCTACTACGGACTATGTGCACTAGGACCAGCCTACCAGAAGTATTTGTGGTGGAAAAAATATCTGACATCATTACAGCTTGTGAGTAATTACTTGTCTTTGAAACAATATATAAAACTAAACTAGAGTCATTAGTTTTCCCTGTGAATTAGGATATTAACTAAACAAAGAACAAAGTTTACAATACAATAAGGCTATGAAGTGCCTGGCCTCTATATGATATCACATGATTATCCTTTCTATCTTATTTAAACAGTTGTCATGAACATTATTGAAAACAAAGAATATTTGGTAATCAAGAGGTTTAGACAATTAAATAAAAATGTGTATCCATATGCCATCTTTATACTATTTTGCGTATTGCTATAAAACAAGAGGCCCAGTGCCTGAAATATATTCATGGAGGGTGGGGGGGTCCCTCAGCCCTGCCTGCACCCTCTCTAATCTGGGACCCCTCAGGAGATGTCTGACTGCTGGTTTAGGTCCAATCCCACAGTCAGACATCCCTCTCACTATCTGGATATATTAAGTGTCCTTCTTAAGACTTTGTAAATTGTTCTGGATCACAGAGTCTTTGGGCATCACTAAGAAGGTCCCTAATACTGTCTCACTCAGTCTCTGGCAAATAGTATATATTTTTATCTATTAAAAGTGGAGGAGAAATGGTAGATTTGAGAAATCAGACATGCCTTTGTGCCTACAAAACTGGTGGGGCTCTAATTAGAATATTTTTATTTCCCCAGAAGTGAAATACCTAATCTAACAACAAACTATTTGAAATTGAAACTACCTGAAATAGTAGGCCATAAGGTAGTGGTCCCATGTTCATTTCATCAAACAAAGACTCCCATCAAAGACTTGCAAAACACTTGCCCTGTTGGTTCTCTGAGTAGAAAAGGGCTGCTGTGTAGCCCAGCAACAGGCACATTTGCATAGGTCTTCTGGAGTTGTGCATTTTGGTGGGACTGAATAGTGGTTCCAAATTGCCATCTGGATTTTAACACCGTTCCACCCACTCTCACTCCCATGGAGGCTAGATTGAAAGACAAAATTCCCTATCCAACAGTAGCTTGGAGGTGGTTGGAGAGTGTTTAAACGTAAGTAGCAAAGAATGCATTAAATAATTGCTCCTTTGTGACTCTTCATATCTGAATAATATTTTTCATCCTTTCATCCATTAGGTCCAGTTCATTATTGTCACCATCCACATAGGCCAATTCTTTTTCATGGAGGATTGCAAGTACCAGTTTCCAGTCTTTCTGTACATCATTATGAGTTATGGGTGCATCTTTCTGCTGCTCTTTCTCCATTTCTGGTACCGTGCTTACACCAAAGGTCAGAGGCCGCCCAAAACTGTGAAAAATGGAATCTGCAAAAACAAAGATCACTGAAATTCAAGTGCAACCTGAATCTATGAATAAGACTGATATCTTGTCTTCCTTGACAATCAAGTGATATTTCCATGTGCAGTGCATTTTGTATATTTTTCAAAAGCAAGAGCTTGTATTTTTATGATAAGTTATTGGGGTTTCTGATATTTGAGAGCCTATACTCCCAGATAACAGAGTCTCCTGATAATTAGAGCCTAAGGCAGCCCGTTTTTTCAGCTGCTTTTAAACCTCATCTAAAGGTTTTATTTAATACATTTTGTTATACTAAAAGGATCATGTGAAATAGTACAGTACTTTTCAAAGAAGTTCAGTATAAATGAGAAATATCTCTAGATATTTTGAGTACAGACAGAGATCCATGCTGTACAGTGGATTCCTCCTGCCAGGTCTGAAAACCTCTCATGTGGACTTGGGCGTTGTAGCTTATTGACTATACTCAGAAGACACTGTGTTTATTCTAGAGTTAAATTCCCATTCTAAAGAATTAACAAAAAAGAACATTAAGTTAATGTTGGGTAAGTTGTCATGTAGAATCACTAACAATAATTTTTAATGGATCTCTTGAGTAGCTGCCACCAGTTTTGCTGATAAGACTTTCTCACAACCTTTTGTCATATGAAGTGTTTAGAAGTAACACTCCTTTCAAGGGACACATTGATGCACTTAATACTAAGGTTACGTTAATATTTTGAAAACAGGTGATTTTTTTCTAATGGCTTAATGAGCACTGTGCTATTACTGTCTTTCAGCTGTCTTTATATGTTTCTGGAAAGAGGTGAATTTGTCAATGGAAAAAGTACTGTATAGCCCTAGCCAGTTTGGCTCAGTGGATAGAGCATCAGCCTATGGACCAAAGGGTCCCAGGTTTGATTCTAGTCAAGAGCATGTATCTTGCCCTTACTGGTTTGTCTCAGTGGATAGAGCATTGGCCTGCGGACTGAAAGTTCCCAGGTTCGATTCTGGTCAAGGGCATGTATCTTGGTTGTGGGCACATCCCTGGTAGGAGGTGTGCAGGAGGCAGCTGATCAATGTTTCTCTCTCATCTATGTTTCTGTCTCTCTATCTCCCTTCCTCTCTGTAAAAAAAAATCAATAAAACATATTTTTTAAAAAAGAGCATGTGCCTTGGTTGCAGGATCCTTCCCGGCTTGGGCCCTGGTCAGGGCTCCTGCAGGAGGCAACCAATCAGGTGTTTCTCTCACATCGATGTTTCTCTCTGTCTCCCCCTGTCTCTTCAATTCTCTCTGAAAATCAATGGGAAAATATCCTCGGCTGAGGATTAACAAAATAAACAAAAAAACAAACAAAAAATAAATAAAGGTGATTAAATGTTTGAAAAAAAAAAAGAAAAGTACTGTATAGTTCACTGGGAAAAATCTGTTGTCTGTTATATCATAATGTCACTTTCTTATATGGTCATTGTTTAAAAGATTATCTTGGTTAAATATATATTGGTTAGATATGTAAATGTTCATATCATATTGCAGGTACCCTTAAATCATAAATGATTTTAGACTACCCACCACAGTTTCCAGAGATATGTTAGAATGGCTTATGAAGCAATTGGAGGCAAATGGTGATAAGAGATTATCCAGGGAAGATTTAGTTATATGAATGTTTCTATCAAGAGAGAGAGAGAGAGAGAGAGAGAGAGAGAGAGACAGAGACAGAGACAGAGACAGATAGAGACAGACTACATGATTGGTATTGTTATGGATATACTGCATAAAAAATATTTTCTAGACTTATTAACAGCCTGCATTTTTTTCAAACTTATAAATTATATAAAGAAGGACTAAAATTCATTTTGCAATGTTTTATTTCTTTAAAAATTGCTACTTTCTAAAATTATCTTATTCTTGAACAAATAGATTTTTGTCCAAGAAACACCAATATTTGGACATTTAAAATTTTTTCTTGTAGCTTGTTTGTTCCTGTTATATTTATGTTCAGTTTTTGAAGGACAGCTTATGCTTGTATTACTTCAAACCAGAGGTTGCTAACTGGTGGTCTGAGGACCACTGAAGGTCCATGAGGTCTGAATGGTTGGCAACAGCTGGTTTAAGGAAACCATTGGAGCAGTGGTCGCCAACCACTGGTGGTCTGTGAGGTCCGAAAGGTTGGCGGCCGCTGCAAATAACTAGTATTGAAGGGCCTCAGTTATTGTGTACATGCAGTGGTACTTAACTGTACAGCAAAGTCTGAGTGCTTACTCACTGTAAGCTCCTCTAGTTCTGTGTCTTCCCCCAGGCTGTAATCTATACCATGGCCTTTTCACACTTACCCTGTTCATAGCTTATGTGCCTTTAATGATCTTTAATGACTTCACTTGTTGAAAATGGGGGAAATAAATATTTAAAAAAAATAAAGAATAAAGTGCAGGAGAGCAGAGCTAAAAGAAATAGCAGACTTATTTTACTTCTCTGAGAGTCTCAGGATTCCTTAAGTGTTTTCTTGTTTTGGCTTTTCAAATCCAACGTGTGCTAAATAAAAAGGTATGGTTGGTGCTGTCATATACTAGTACTCATACAATTGCCAAAGACCCCAGTAGGGTAAAGACCAAATGCAAGCAAAAATAAAAGAAGATAAAACAGGAGAGTTTGGTTTCTTTCCCTGCATCCTTTCTGACCTGCATTGTACGACTGCTGTTAATTGCCCTGCAGTTTTTGAAATGTTTGAGGTGCCTACCAGTTCACAGTAACATGTGATAGAAACACATTCTAAATTATACAAATCGAAGAAACTATGTTACATGAAAAATCACAGATGGCAGAAACATCCTTTGTGTAAACATTGGCAGATAAAAATGCATCCACCGGATGCAGAATTTGCACAGTGTTTTTTATTAAAGGACTTTGTAGGTTACAGAGAGTTTCTATTGGGGTTTCATCCCACTTTTCAGGATTTTATTGCCTTTGGATTTGCTTACCTAACAAATAAAGAGCCCAGTTACAAAATCTTGTTTATGACATAAGTGGCTCTATCAATCCTTGAGAATATTGTAAATAAATACAAATTTAAAATATTAAATATATAAGGGACATTGCAATTTTCCAGTCTTAATTAGTAGAATTCTTAATTGAGTAGACTACATTGTTACCTAAATTATAAGGTTATGAGTTATATTTCTTCATATTAACTCTTATTTTTTCATGTTTTTAAAGACTGTGGAAAACTCTGGCTGTTGTCATAGTTTTGATTGTGTGTGCGTGTGTATTTATAATAAATGTGTTATGTTACATGTATGCGTATGTGTGTACATTATAATATATTTGTTGTATTAAGTGTGTGCGTGTGTGTGTGTGTGTGTGTGTGTGTGTGTGTGTGTATCTTTCATTTGGATTTTAACTGCATATGTTTGCATGGGTAGGTGCTTTTTAACATGAATATTCTTTTAGCCAAAGCATTTTACACATTTGTTGTATACATGCTATGTTCAGACATTAGTGATACAAAAACACCTGTGACATAGTCGAGGCCTCCTAGAGGTTAGCAGCTGACTGGTAGAAGAAATTACGTTATAGGCTAGTATATGATAGTTGCCATCTGAGTGAAAATCCTGTCACTGGGCAAGCAGGGAAAGCTCTGTGAAGGAATTTGAATTTGAGTTCTGTGTTAAAGGTATACCCAATTTCAAAATGGGTGGTGGGTTAATGAGAAAGGTGTGCTAAGTAAAACAAAATAACAAAGTGTGGGCCAGGGGAAGGAAAGTATTAGAAAACTTGAGGGGATGGCCAATGAACCAAATCAAAGTGAGGCTTCCTGTAGAGAAATGAGGCCAGAAAGGGAGGTGAGCTCTGACCTCTGGTACCATAGCTGTATCAATTGGGCTGATTCTCCAGACCATGGGAGTATTCAGTGGTTTGTGAGAAAGAAGAGGGGTGATTGAAGTGGGTACCTTAAGAGGAGTCCTCTGGTGGGGTGGGATGGGGTTTTGGAGGGGCATGAGACACTAAAGCAAAGATAAATAAGTTTATTTTAAGGTTCCACCTTAAACATTAACAAAATCTGACTACTGGGCCCTGCTTATGTCATTCCTTGATTTCAGGATTAGTTTCCTATCTGACTCACTGCTTCTGCCCTCACCTTCTTATAATGCATAGTCTAGGTCATATTCAAACATAAATTAAATCATGTCATTCTTAATCAGAAGCCTACAGTAGCATCTGATTTCACCCAGACAAATAAGAAAGAGCCAGAGTTTCTACAGTGGTCTACAAGGTCATCCATGACTGTCTCCTACCTGCCATTGTACCTGTGTCCTCACTGGTGACTCCACCCTTGCCTCCCTCTGCTCCACTCACGCTGGCCTCCTGGTGTCCTTTGGATCATGCTAAGCATGTTCTCATCATAGTGCCCTTAGTTTAGCTTTTGACTCTGCTTAAGGGACAATCTGGGACCGCTGGCTCCTAACCGCTCGCCAGCTTGATCACTCCTAACCACTTGCCCTCCTGCCTCATTGCTCCTAACCACTCACCTGCCTGCCTGATCCCTCTTAACTGCCTCTGCCTGCCTGATTACCCCTAACCACTCGCCTGCCTGCCTGATCACCCCTAACTGCATCTGCCTGCCTGCCTGCCTGATCGCCCCTAACCACTCACCTGCCTGCCTGATTGCCCCCTACTGCCTCTGCCTCAGCCCCCACCCTTCATCCGGAAGGATGGCCAGAAGGTCATTCAGCTGTCTGGTCTAATTAGCAAATTATGCTTTTATTATTATAGATTAATTTTAGATGGGAGACAATAGACATAAAGTATTCTCATCAAGGGTGTTATATAAAAGGTACATGCTATCAATATGACTTTACACTGTTGATGTTAACCTTGCTCACCTGGTTGAGGTAATGTTACTCTTCCCCCCACTCCTCCTTTATTCTTTGGGAGGGAGTAACTGTGAACAGATACACTTAAGGATACCACCTTGAGGGAAAAGTATCTGTATAAATTATTTAGAATTCTTCTATATAGGTAAGTTGCCTATTCTAGTACTTAATCACATATA